GAATAGACAGTCTGCAGCGTCACTCTCTCCCACAAATCAACCAAATTTACAACTATAAAAACGTAACATCAGCCAAGCCGGGGCCGCTGGAGCTCAGAGGAAGAAGGGCAGAGACCTACGGAGTTCATGAAGGTGGGAGAAACTACAATGAGAGAAAGTAAAAGCTGCTCTGAGCATTTCAAGCCACGGCTGCTTTAAGGCTTTAGCTGATAAGCACATGGAGCAGGAGCCAGCAGAAGCTGCAGCTGTGCCCTTCAGATGGAGTTACTTGGAGGCAGCAAGAGAGAAGGGGGCCTTGGCGGCCCCCAGGACAGCAAGACCACTAATAGGGTTCATGTGGACCCACACAGGAGAGAGGAGCCAGAACAACTGAAAAAAGGGAGCCACTCAGAGGCTGGTGAGTCATCACAAGGGACCAGCGCAGGGCCCATCCCATGGAAAGTGTTTGCAGCATGGGTGGTGGGGGAGACGTGCCCACCAGGGGAACATGGGGACACAGCGAGGACAGCTGATCCGCCCCGCAATCAGCACGGGACCACCCAGAGGAGACTGGTCAGGAATGCAGAATTGCATGGGGTGCAGTTTGATGAAAAAACTTAGGCCCAGATCAGAGATTCTACAGAACACAGATCCACCGGATCTCTGGAGAGCCGGAAGTACCTATAAGGTCAACCATTAAATCCTGAGCTGCACAAAATGTCTTCCCTAGGGAAACAGCAGCAAAGTAGCAATTTAAACAACCACACAGCTCAAGTACTGGTTCCCACGGGAAGTTCCCCTGTGTTAGAGGAAAAGGACAAGAAATTAGTTCTGGGCCAGGCACAACACCAGCACCTTGGGGCCTGCCTGGGAACTGGAGGCTTGGATCTGGGGACCAGACCCCACTCCTACTTCCAGGCAAACTACACCAGTGCCTCGGGGCTAGCCTGGGGACCTGAAGCATGGAGAAGGGGACTGGACCACCCCCCCACAACCAGGCACACCACGCCAGCACCTTGGGGCCTGCCCAGGGACCCGAGGCAAGGAGAAGGGGACCGGACCTCCCTCCCACAACCAGGCACACTGAGCCAGCACATTGGGGCCCACCCAGTGACCCGGGGCATAGAGAAGGTGACTGGACCTCTCTCCCACAACCAGGCCCACCAAGCCAGCATCTTGGGTCCCACCCAGTGACCTGAGGCATAGAGCCAGGAACCAGACCCTCCTCCCACAACAAAGCACACCACGCCAGTACCTCAGGGCCCACCCAGGGACCCGAGGCAAGGAGAAGGGGACTGGACC